ACAAAAATACGCAAACAAGATTTTTTCAAAGATTGCTAATTTTTGCTTTAAATTGTTTGTTCGAACAGAACAAAGTTTGCAGACGTCCGATTTTCATTAAAACTTCCTCCATTTCCAAAATTTCTAAAATCCCATTTTTCTGACACTTTCCTATACTACTGCATTATTACACAGACCAGTCACACAAATTTGACCACCGTCTATGTTCGACGTAAACGTGCAATAACCCCGTACACAAGGGGCAGCACTAACAGTGTGTGTGTGTGTGTGTGTGTGTGGGTGGGTGGATGGGGGGGTATATTAAGTGTCTTGTGGAAGCGGAAAACGGTGCCGTGATTAACGCAATGCAAAAACGGACCGATTTATCGACCGTCAAAAAGGGCCTGAACACTACCTTTCGGGCCAGGGGCCGAAACGGCTAAGCTTGCAGTGTTCGCGTGCCGCCGTGGTTAAAGTATATCGAGCATGGCAAAAAGGCGATATCCAAAGCCGGCGCCGCGGCAAATGCGGCGCACCACGGGTCATAGATTATAATCTATAATTATAGGGGAGAGCAATGGCTGCGGAGATGTGTACGGGTGGAGAGACCTGCAACTGGAGAGGAACTGACCGCCCAGATTAACCAAAGGGCTAACAGGGTGCCCTCAACGACCGTTCAGCGACCGTTACTGCGTACATGTACGGGCTTCCGCCGCAGGCGCGTGGTTCATCCAGCCCTGCTGACTGCTGTTATTCGGCGTCGAAGGCTGGAATTTGCACGCTAATACCGCAACTGGGCGTTTACTGAGTGGCGTCAGGTGGCCTTTTCGTAGGAATGTCTGAACGCGCTCAACAATCCCGGGACGGGCACAGGCCATGAAGTGGAGAATGTTTTCGTGGCATTCCCTGGGTGATCTCGTTATTTTGGAAGACACAATGGATCAACAGAAGTATGCAGCCATCCTTGGAGATCATGTCCACTCCTATTTGCAGATAAGTTTCCTCAGCAAGTCAGCATCTACCAGCAGGACAATGCAACGTGTCACACAGCTCGCAATAGACTTGCGTGGTTCGAAGAGATCCACCAGGATGAGAATATATTACACCCCTGGCAACCAACCCCCTCCCCCCATTTAAACTTAATCGAGAAGCTGTGGGACCGTCTCGATCGGGCTCTTCGCGCTATGTATTCGCGACCAAGGAACCTAGCGCAGCTGGCCACGGCACCGGTGTCGGCATCGCCCCACATCTGTCAGTACCATCCAGAACCTAATTGATTCTCTTCCTGCGCGTCTTGAAGCGGCAAGCGCTGCAAGATGGGATTTTCAGGATTTTCACGGGTGGTCACATTAATGTGATTGGACTAGGTAAATGGAGATTTGTTATTGGAATTTTTCTTAAAGGTTCGAATTTTAAATAGTTTTTAAACCCTTAATTAAAATGTGTTGCTTAGTGAACGTTAGAAGTTTCCACGACTGCTGCAGAAAGTCAAAAACGTCTCAATTTTTACTTCATATCCCTAAGTTGCAGCATTCATAGGATTGGTGTCACCTCGTCAATATGATCTCGATTTTTGGCCGTAAAATCGGCGTTAAGGTTCTTTTGAGCTGTAACTTTGTATATACATCAGGTTTGAGGGCTATTAGCGCTGTTCGAAAGATGGTTAAGATTGATGCAAGTGGAGAGGAGACAGGAGCTGGATTAACCTTTGCAAGGGCTCTGGTGTGGTCATGTGCAGGCACTTGCAATTACATTTGCTCTATTATTCAATCCTGATTTTTGCTTGGGATGGGGAAAAAAATAATTTGAACTCAGAAAATGATACCAAACAATATTTAAGACAAATGTTGATGTGACTTACAATTTTAGAGAGAATTTTATAAAGTACTTAATTGTGCATGACGGGACTTGGTGAAAAGTCCCACAAAAGACCTAAGATTAGTACTTTATCACTTTCTGTTTATATTGTACATACAAACCATAAGAAACAAGATCTAAACTAAAGAAACATTTTGAGCCCCAACTGACCCCAATTAATTACAAATAAAAAAATATATAATAAAACTATCCTAAATAATTTTTAGCCATTTATTAAGTCAGAACAAGTTATTTTCTGCCTCTGTGGTGGGAAACACACATGTATTGTATACAGTCTTGTATGTGATTTACTTACATTCACATTTTCAGGAAAAAATACTAGCAATTAGTTGTACTATGAGAATGCATGAGTTTTGGCCTTGTTTGGGACAGCTATAGAATATTATAATACTACACGACCATGCAAAAGTGTTTCCAATCAACAAAACGTAGGTCTATGCACTGGGATTCAAACTCAGGGTCTTCATTGCTAGGCCATCCACATTACCCCTACACCACTAGCCTCACATCTAAACTCAACCTTCTAGGTGCAATAAAAAGTCAGGCAAACAATTGTATTTATTATTTATTGTATTTGCAATTTGTAAATATTTTTTTAATTGAAATTATTTCAAAGTCTAGATGTGAAGAATGGTTTTCATTTAGGAAAAAATCCAAATCAATATTGTAGTTTTACAATGATAGTTTTCCTTGTGATTGCTTTCTGTAGTGTGTGATGAAAATGGGACCTGCTTCAGTTGTTAAGCATCCTTTGCTCTACTTGAGGAAATTGTAAAGAAATATTGAAGCGCATCAATTTTTGTAAATGTCCTTACTCCAAGCAAAATTCCAAGAAAACTACTGCAATTTTTTTAAAAAATTTTATGACTTAGATCTAAGATTAATTTTTTTGATTAGAAAAACAACAAATCTGTTCAGTTTGTACTTTTGAAATGTACGAGTTTTTGCAATTTCAAAAATAGTCATGTCATTTTTAAGCATTTCATGCTATATCTAAGAAGAAAATTTAATAAGAAAATAATTGGTTAAAAATAGTCTATTTTCATTAGAAAAAATACATAAGAACTATTTCAAAAAATTTAGATGACCTTATTTCAAGATTGATCTTTGAAAAATAATTTCATTCCAGGAAAAAAATCGCTTGTGCTCAATATTGTAGTTGAGGAAATGTCCAAAACATTTTTCAACTGTTGTAACTTTTCATTTTCTAAAAGGAGACATGTCATGACTAAGCATTCTCTGTGCTATCAAAGAAAAAGTTTGATAAAAAATTATGAGCTATTTGAGAAAATTTTAAAGTTTTCTGTAGTGTGGTGAAAATGGGAGGTTTCATGTAAAGTACCCTAAAAATCAAGATGTTTCAAACTGTGGACTTGAGTTCACAGAGATCAATCGGAGAACATAAATTCTATTTTTTATAATTCATATAAATGTTCACCTTTCTGTATTACGTACTAGATCTTTCTGATTAATTGTTTAGAAATATGCATTAGAATTCATTTATTGCATGTGTAGAGTACAGAAGAATTTTCTTTAGTGTTGTTTTTTTTTTTATGCCAGTTAAATAGCTGTATTGAAACCTGAATGAGAATTCCAGAGGTCAGCTACTTTAATAAATTATAACTGTTTTTTTCTCAATCAATTCAAGGCAGATACCAAGAGTAGTACCTTAGACAAGCCAACACATGTGCTTCTTCCTTTTCCATCCCTATTTTGAACAGTAGCTATTCCAATTGTTCAAGAACATTTTCCAAAAGCATTTGGTGTCTGACAAGCGGTGAACAGCAGAGTCCCAAAACAATAGGTGTCAAAAGTTAGGATAACAAGAGCAATTAAATGCAATGGAAGTATTTTCTGGTATCTCATTAGATGATGTATGTACCCCTTCAGTTTGTAATTGGCTTGTCAAACAAGTATCAATTATGTTACTTGTTGTAACCTTATATTACAACCTGTGGAAACAATAATTTGAAAGCCTCATATTTTTCATCAGGGCTATTGCTGCATCAGCCCAATCTTCCAATTTCCGGGACTAGTGCCTTGGTGGAATTTTTAACATGATAGTAATTCAGATTTCAATTCCACATCACATGAATGTATGAAATCAATCAGAAATCTTGGAAGCAATTGATTCTTTTGCAGTTCAGGTGAGTTTTGAGTGCTTGTGTAATAAATTTACATATAAAGTTTATTGCACTTCTATGTTTTGTGCCAAAACATCTTTTATTTCCAGAAAGTGGTCGATTATGGCTCAATAAAAACTGGAAATTATGTAAACTCTAAATAAGACAGAAGATGGTTCTTGCTCTGAAAGCTTGGTTATCAGATGTTCTTGTAAATTGCAATGGTGAATTATCCATACCCAGCAAGTTTCTTGGCTCCTTTGCCTGCATATCAATAAAGGTTCGTTGTGTATAAAGTACAGTAACTGCTCCTTTACAATTGTTCAATAATTGTATAGAGTTTGTTGCTTATAAATTGAAACTACTTTAAGATTACCAGGATTAGGCCTCATGCCTTCAATGACGACTTCAATTCTAACTTGCAAAACACTTATTACATGATCAACATTTATAAGTCAGTTTTTTGTTGTTGTTTTTTGTTTGTTTTTTGTGGTATTTTAAAATGTGAGATGTTCATAACACTTTAAATCACATCTTGTATTTCCAGGCCATGTGTAGATTCCTTCCAAACTCCTCTTACAGTGACAAAATACTACTGACGTCACTTTTTAAAGCATTATCAGTATACACAAATTACACAGGCAAAACTAAGTGTCTCGATATCCAAGATGATGCCAGCCCTCAATTAGGAGAAAGTGGCTGGGATTTCCAGGTAAGAAGCAGGACTAATTGTGAAAAAATATTAAAAATTTGCACTTGATACACTTCAAAAATAGTAATTTCATCCAATTTATTATATCAGGCTTGCACAGAGATGGTGATGCCAATATGTTCCAATGACACTAAAAGCATGTTTGAAGAAGCTGAATGGAATTTCAAAAAGTACTCTGACAGCTGCTATCAGAAATGGAAAGTTAGACCCCAACCAGATCTTGCAATAAAAAATTATGGTGGTAAAGACATTTCTGCTGCATCCAATATAGTTTTCAGGTGAGTTTTTTAGGACATTGAATGGTTTCAAGATCGATCAGTTTTTGTTTTGAAATTGACCCTAGTTTTCCTTAATTTTTTATTGAAATGAGTGAGGATTTTCCCATTTATTGCTTTAGTAAAATTTACTTCAAACAAAGTACAATATTAGTATTGGTTAGTTTCTGTGAGAATTCTTGGTCATAACTTTGACAAGGCAAAATAGTAATCTATAAAAACAAAAGAAAATATTCTTTCAGAGAAATAAACCTTTCAAAAAATGCTCACTCTTGACACTTGTTGTTTGCAAGTCGCTTCTCAAAATGCCTAAAATAACAAACAGCCTAACAAATGATGCAAAAATTATGAAGACTTTTAAACTTGTAAACTTCAAAAAAAAAAATACAGAAACAATTCAAAAATCAGTATCCCCTGATAAACAAATTAATTTCTTCTGTAAAAATATTATTTTTTAAAAGCCCCACTTTAAATTCAATTTCACACAGAAACCCTTCCCATTTTACCATTACTACCACAGCCGGTTGAGACAAGTTGAGGAACCTGTTTGGATGATGTTAAATTTTATTGTGACAATTTTGATTTTAAAGTTATTTTAGAATTGGCTGACAATTCATGTGAAACCCTAAAAGAATGTCAAAATTTAATTACTTCTGATAAGGATACAATAGCACAACAGTTTTTATTAAAACTCGCTACAGCTTCATTCCTGAAACAATTAAATTACTTGAAATGCAAAATATACCACTTGTTGATTTAGTCTCCTTAATTAACAAATCTGATAAAAACTAAATCAGCTAAAGCAAAAACTGGTGAAATTGTGCAAAAAGTGTTCTGTCATTGACAAAAACATGGGATGCTTGCTATTAAAGGATGTTGCCAGAGTTCTTTCTGGAGAAATTGTTGACAATCTAAATAAGTCAGTTTCTTTAATGGCACAATTTAAAAATTGCCCAACAACATTGGTAGATGTTGAAAGAACATTTTCAATTTACAAACATATGTATACAGATAGGTCAGGTAATTTTTTTATTGACAATTTTGAAAAACACTAAAATGTTTCGTGAATACTACTGTCTGATGAAGACAATCACAAATCTCATCAGTAAGTGTAAAAGAAATTTAATAATAAACATACTGTATACTAAAATTATTAATATATTGGTTTTCGTTATATACATATAATTTGGCATAAATCTCTACTTCATTTGGCAAAAAATGCCTACTTCATCTACCCTACCAACTAGCTTCCCTACTCCCATGACTAACTTATTTTCTAAACAAAAGAATAACCTCGGTTATAAAAATTGAGTGATAAAAAGATTAAGCAGTTTAATTAACAAAAATTTTGGAGTATTTTCCCCAAGGATACTGAAATGATGACTTAATATAAAAAGTGGATCAAAATTCAGGACTATTAAAACTCAACACTTTTGTTTTATATAATTTGTGGAATGTTGGCCAAGAAATCTTTATTTCATAAAACGTCACCCATGAAATGTAACTTTACACTTTCTTTCCTTTTTTTTCTTTTTACAGTAATGGCTTGTTGGATCCATGGGCTGGTGGTGGAGTTCTTCGCAATTACTCTGATAGTTTAGTGGCAATACTTATACCAGAAGGTGCCCATCACTTGGATCTGAGGGCTAGAAATGCTGCTGATCCTGCATCTGTGATTAAAGCACGAGAGTTCCATAAGTATTACATTCAGCAATGGATGAAACAGTTCTATAGGCAGCACAAAATATCTCCCTATTAAGTGCACTTTAAAAGTGTCTGAAAGTGCAGATAACCCCGCAAGTATTAAAGGGGAGCTTTAAAACCATTATTGTTAACTGTGATCTCTTTATCCTTTTTCTTAATTCATATGCATGTTCAGATATTAGTCGAGGGAGCAGCAATTACACAAAGTCTGTTGGATTAATATCCTTTGCAGTCTTCATTTATAAAAAAAATTATCAACAAAATAATTTATTATAAATACTGTACAAAAACATATCGTGGAACATATCATGATATAATAAAGAATTCATTAAGAATCCATTGTAAACAAATTATTCTCAAAAAAATAAAGGTTCCTCAAACATAAGATCGTAGAACAATAACTTACACTACACATCCATTTTATACAATTACCACTAAAACCTAAAAACACTATTTTGAAAGTTTGTAGTTGCCTAACAATGCACCTGAACTTTTAAGAGTTTCTTGCCTGGCACTACACAAAAACTAGAACTTCATAGTCTTCTATACTTGTGACAATAAGGCATCTTGGGTTTTCATCCTTCACATAAACACACTTCTTCCTCACTTCTCATGAGCACGCATGTGCTTTGTTAAGTCACGTTTCTCTGCATACGTTCTTTTACAAACTGTGCAGTGAAACCTTTTTATGTTAAGATGTCGAAGAGTATGTTCTTTAAGCTTATCTGCTCTACTGAATGACTTGGGACAAATTTTGCACAAGTGCTCACGTTCACCAGTGTGAGTCTGAAATGTAAACATTGGAGTCAAAGCTGAATCCATGCAGCAAATACATATAAATAAAAAATTCAACACAAGAACACTTGAAATCTATTTTTATTATGCAATTTCATTATTACATTTATACTATTGCAAAGTAGATTATTACAAAACCACTTGTATACTTAAAAACTGTCCTAATGACAAAAAAAAAATTAAAACTACATTTTATCACCCATTGTACATTGATCTGCAAGCATACAGACTGTTCTGACACATATCAAATTATGAAACCTACCCCAAAGTATCTCCAGTGACCTGCATAGTCCAATTAATGCTTAAATAATGTAAGAAAGAACTCAAAATAATGTGAGTAAATTACCAGGAGTGGCCAAAGGACGGGGGACAACAGCTGGGGCAACTTGCCCAGGCCCTGACTTATTAGGGCCCTGAATTGGTTTTCTTTCAAAAAAAATAAAATGGATATTTAAATTACTAATCCAAATGTAACACTAGAAGTTATTTCTGATGTATGGATAAGTTAATTGTTAATGAATTGGAGAGGGGGGAATTTTTAGTTTGAAATTAAGGGCTCCCATGGATTAACTGCCCTAGGCCTCAGGTTTACTTGACAAAGTAGGCCCACTTATAATTATTCATGTCCTAAAGGAAAAACTGTCTTCCAAAATTTGTTGGCAGTAAGAAATATAAATAACCATACACAAAATTGTGTACGTATTATTTATTTCTAATTCATTATCACATTTCAGAAATGAGACAAATGTTTCAGCACAAGAGGCAATGAATAAAGCAAAGCAAATATTATACCGTACAGTCATGTGTACTAAAATCATTAAGGATATCAAACGAAATCGACAAAAAAAAAAAAATTGAGGACAAAAGTTTTACTGAAGGGGAAAAAGATAAAAATGAGAGATAATAAAATCGTGAACACCTCAATAGTAATTGAAGCACTAAAAGTCTCAATATTTTAGTCTTAAATTTGTGTTACATACACACCTTTTCATGATTCTTCAAATGTGAACTGCTAATAAACTTGCGAGGGCACTGACTGCAACTTAATGGCCTAGCTCCACTGTGAGTCATATAATGTTTGTTCAAATAATCTGCTCGGCTAAAAGTTTTTCCACACATCTGCAATGAGAAAGAGCAATTTTATACATTAAATCTCAACATTGTTACATTGGCAAACTACCCTGTAAATAAAACATTTAATTTTTAATTTTATCAAAGATTTTTCTTTTTATTTTTTTTATGTTTACACTTGCACTGTTAGGTTGCAGGCACATGAGCGTCGGATAATGGACATTGTAACTCACTTAAATGCCATGCCTCATTTACATCTGTAAAACTCTACAATAAATGCATTTTAACGTCCATTAAAGTACGCTTGTGTGTCTCTGACCTTATGGTTAAAACATTTATAACATTTAATCACAATGAGAAAAGTTATGCAAGTTTCACATCCATATCTTCGTTGTTTGTAAGTGGTGATTAAACTAGAATTTTAGTTCTCAAAGAAACCTCGAAAACAGAACTAGAAAGAAGAATGAATAAGAATAAGAGAAAAGCCATAGTAAAGCTTGTTCTAAAAACTGAAAGAACATTATTTTATCTGCACTATTTTAATTAAAGAAATGGGTCTCACATCACACACAGCTTCTTTTTTTCCAACATGTGTATCCATATGTCGTTTGTAGCTAAGTTTAGTCATAAATCGTCTGTTGCACAATAAACAATTAAAGCAACCCATTCCTCCATGCTCCAGTCGACAATGCTCTTGCAAGCTTTGAATTGAGCTGAAACTCTAAAGAACATTTTGCAATATATAATTCCCCAAATTTTGAACTTTTTCTCATTTATCACAGAGCAAACTCACATTATGAAAGGGATGTCACATGATAAAATTGACTTTGTGATAAAGTTGATAGAAAAGTTATAAAAACAATTCAAAATTTTACATACAGAACTTTGGTCAAATTACATAAACCACACGCTAAATTAATGTAACTGAATGAAGTGACACCCTATTTACTAACAGGTCGTAGGTAACGGAATATAAATGAAGATATGCTTTACCCTGGGGCACATATCGCACTGCTCCTTGGCAACATGTTTACGACTTGAGTGGACCTCCAAACTCTGAGTTGTTGTGAAAGATTTATCACAATCCTTACATTTGAATGGTTTTCTTTTCTCTTTTTCAGTTTTCACATTAACCGATGGCTTATCTGAATTGTCAGAAGCCACTACAATATGCATAACACTCAAATTGTCATTCAAAACGGTCTCTTCTTCAATGTAAGTTTTCAAAATTAGTGGATTCATATCTGTATTCAAAGATTTTATTTCATTTCCTCCTTCACTCTGAACAACCAAAGTTTCACTATTATTCACTTCAATGAAACGCTCTTTACAAATATTTAAATTTTTAGTTCTTTCACAAATAGGCAAATCTCTGTCAGCTACAGAATCAACAGTAATAATTTCCTGAGTATTCACTGGGCTGTTTCTAAAATTGTCTACACTATCACAAGGCAATGCCAGTTTTTTCTCATCAGTTTCCTGAATAATGGATTCAGTGGATGCAACTATATTCTCCCCAGTAATAGCAGCCAGTGTAGCAGGATGACAGGTTACAATTATATCTGTTGAAGTTCCATTGCCATTGCTTTGCACAACAAAAGTAGCATTTTGATCTGCTTTCATATTTTCAGAAGCTTCTGGGTCAGCCCAATCAATGGCATCTCCTGATTTTTCAAATACACAGGCTTCAACAAGAGATCCTAGTTGATCTGATACATGATGTTCATTAACATCACTCTGCTTTACTTCAATAAATACAGAATTAAAATCAGATGGTGTTTGCACTCCAACATCAAGGTAGCTTTCATGTCCAGGAATATTTGTTCTTGATAACAATGCCTAGAAGAGATTAAATTTTCAATTAAATTCATAATAATTTGCTATAATTTTGGATAATGACTTGCCTGAAAAGTTCTCACAAATACCTGTAAAGTTTTCATGAACTGATACATTAGACAATGAAATTTGATTTGCACAACAAAATCAACAGTAGCCACTTGAAGCTGGACTGAATATGAATTCAAAAATCCACATTCTGACAGCTGCAACATTAAGAATGAAAGCATTCAGCGACTGTTATGGTTGTCAACACTACTTTCTGCCACAAATGAATGAAAATACACACCCCTTTAAAGAAAACTTCTAGAGCATTTGCAAGATCATTTAAAGAATCAATGGAACCCATATTTATTGAGAAACATTCAATCTCCAATTATTTATTGATTCCTGCTTGGCTGCAGTCACAGGTTATAATGTTATTCACACATTTCTTTATATATTATTCAGTTAAAGGACACTGAATTTAGAATTGACTGCTACAAATCACCTAAATGGTCATATCACAGCTAAAAACAATGAGTCGTCGTCTATCTCATTAAAAGTCTTTTTTTATAATCAATTGTAATATCAAAATAAACTTCCATCGCAAATCGAAAATATACTCCGCGGATAACTCTTCTCTTGTTTTTCATTTGTTTAGCAACACCATAGCAACGGCTGTGGGCATCAGTGGTACCAAATACACGGTAGTCGTGCCGTGCTTATTGCTATTTTGTATAACTCTATTATCTTTTGTCTTCGCGTGAATGTATGCGTATGTTATTGTGAGTAACCTTAAAAATATCAAATTCACAAAATATTTTCTTTTAGACTCATTAGTGCATGAAGTTCTCTAAAATATGACAGACGGGGTTGAAAGCAAATGGCAGTATGTTGCAAGAGCTGACAATGCTGTCATGATTTTCTCTTACGTTAAATCAATACCGAAGAGAACTTGAATTCCGGACACTTTAAATGTAAAACTGTAATTACTGAATAGCTCATAAAAATGCCCGTAAGTATATGACACCGCATGTTACTATTCAGTTTTAATTTTTTTGAGTTCATTCTTGACAGCATTTCTCTGATACTAAATTGTTCAAATATTTATTGCATGTCATAATTTTTCTCCATTCAAGAGAGTTCAATTTTATGACTACCCACTATTAACTAACGTTAATAGTAGTTGAAATTAATAGTAATTGAATAGAATTATCATCATTGTTTTGCGAAATAAATATCATGACATTTCTTGCTTTGAATCATTTTCAGCAAATGTTATTGCCCAATTTGTTTTTTGACCTTTTGACTTCACATTTTAGAAGTTATTAGATGACGGGGTCGTTGAAAACGTAAGAGTTGTCGTACGTATTCGCCCTTTGAGTGAGAAAGAAACAGAGTCAGGATACCGCCAGATTACGAATGTGGATTCTGTAAACAACAGTGTGTCAGTTGAAAATCCTCAAGCAGCTGATGGGGAACCTCCAAAGATATTCACTTTTGATGCTGTTTTTGATACAGATTCAAGACAGGTAATGTAACTGAACTACATATTGTTAAGAATTCAGTAAAGTTTTCTCTTAAAGAAATTAACACCACAAAAGTTATTTTCTACAAATTCATCAACACTATTCTTTGAGTGACATAGTTTGCATGACTAGTAGTAGATTGGAAGATGTTAAAATGTAACACCACAAGGCAGTGAATCAAGTGAAAGTACAGATTAATTTTGTTGAATCAATAGTTCATTATTATATGAATAAAGCATGAATGTTCCTTTCTGCAGTTGGATGTTTACAATGAAACTGCCCGACCTATTGTTGACAAAGTTCTACAAGGATATAATGGAACAATTTTTGCATATGGTCAAACAGGAACTGGTAAAACATACACAATGGAGGGCAATTGTTCAGCTCCTGAACTCAAAGGCATTATTCCTAATTCTTTTGCCCATATTTTTGGTCACATTGCAAAAGCTGAAGAACAGAAAAAGTAAGTAGAATTGTTTATAGAAAAAGTATGTTCGTATTTTATATACAGTTACTCCTTATAATCAATTTATATTCAACTTTTTGACTTTCTGTAGATTTCTTGTCCGAGTTGCTTACATTGAGATTTATAATGAAGAAATACGTGACCTATTAGGAAAAGATCAGAATGTTCGTCTAGAAGTGAAGGAACGTCCAGATATTGGAGTGTACATTCGTGATCTATCTGGCTATGTAGTCAATAACGCAGATGATATGGAGCGAATTATGACTTTGGGTAAAAAGAATAGTGAGTATCATTCAATTAAAATATTTATAAATATTTCTATTTACTACAGTAAAACACACCTAAGAATCATGACATCTGGTGGGAATATTCACTTGAATATTCAAAGCATTCGTTATACGTTCAATAAGTCATGATCTATAATTCTTGAACTGGTAGTTTGCCTTTTTTCTTGATACTACTGTATTTGGTTTCCATGCTGATATTAAGCCAGCAATGCAAATAACATTTATTTGGTTGGAACCCATTCTACCAGATCTGCTGCTTTCAGATTACTTATTGTAAAATGCTTAAAATGAAGGAAATTGTGAAGATAAAATGTATGTAAAGTGAAACTGCATAGTATTACCTACAAGTATTCATGTGTTAGGGTTAAAAACTAGAGAAATTGTGTAAAGAGCCTTAATCTAAATGGCTAGTCTGTAGTTGCCAACAAATAGAATGATGAGGACACAACATGCCAAAATTGAGGAAAAATTGTTTATTTCGTGGGAAGCCTCATCATCAACCATAAATCTTTGCAGAATCAATTGAATATTTTCCTCCATTGTTCTCTTTGTATAGTCTTCTTCATATCTCATATCAGGTGCTTTAATTTCTCTTATTTTTTTAATAACTTCTTCTTCCCCTATTTCCTGTACCACCTTCTGTATTTCCTTCAATTATTATTTTCAGTAAACCTTAAATGTTTTTCAAAATATTTCACCAACAGTTTGATTTTTTTGTTTATTATAGGATTATTTAAATTTTGGGTTAAAGTTGAGTACACAATACACCCTAAGAGAAGCTTGACGGCGAGGAGGGGAAGTGGGAGGAGGGGTCTCCTCTAGCCCTCCCTCATATTACGCTAAGCGCTCTGACTGAAATGTATGAAACTTACCGATAGGCGATTTTTATGGCGTTTTGACTGACGGTTTTATAACCTCAAACTAGGTCATTACTAATTCCTTAATTATACTCAACTTTCTTCCTGCAAACCATGGCCCCTTTTGCAAGGAACACTTATGCACATGAGAAGTGGCCCCTTTCTTGCTACACTTCCACTCACCATCACACAACTATCATACAACTTCTTTCGCTTGGCCAACTTTATAGGTCACTTACACAAGCACACTTAAATCTTGCAGCTATCAAACTACGTTCTTACCCCCATTTAATGTCAGCCAAACACCACCTTTGGTGCAATGGCCAAAAAATCCCACATTTATTCTCATCATCATAGCACAAACTCAACACTCAAAACACACAAATCACAAAGAATCTGAAGAACGCAAGAAACTTTATTGTACAACAGCAACCCCGACAGAAAATCACGTAAACAAAAACATGATTTACATGCCACCACACACCATTTCGTAATGAAGTTTCGACAAGATATTAGGGTGAAATTTCCCCCACCCCTAACTTTTGACTTCACGTTCGTGACCAATTGTGAACCATTAAAATTATTTCAGAAGTGTATTTTTTTACAATGTATTTAAATCTCCCATGCTTTGCTTTTTATATATGTATGTACTAAGTTACACATGTTGCTCACCACTCCTCGTCCCCTTCACCAGAGCGGTGTGAAGTGCCGATTTAAACGACCTCCTTAGGTTGTACTGTATACTACACTTCAACCAAATTTTGTATTTCTTTATCATTCTCTCTATCATTGTAATTTATTTTCTGTTTTCTACCAAAGCCATTTTCCAGTGCTCTTCAAGAACTTTTCCTTATGTGTCAGAGCCTAGGTTATCATAGATTAAACTAGATTAAGAACTTGCTTAATCTCTTTCTTGACATCATCAAAAAGCATATCAGGAGAAGGGTGCACTGTGTTGTTATTTCTGGTTTGTACCCCTGTTTTGAGTTCTTTGATAAGGATGTGCAAGATCTTATTTTCAATTAAAGCATTGGCCTACATCTTCCACCACTGGAATCTAGGTTTGATCCTGGGCAATCTTTGTGGAATTTGGGTGGGCAAAGCTCTTTGCAGGTTTTTTCAAGGTTCTCCCAATTCTTCTGGCTTTCATTTTACCATTTCTCCATCAGTTACCTCATTGTTATTATTGCTATCATCTCTTCATTAAATCGTCACTTATGGATCTCGATGTGTTCAACAGTTCTAGGGCTCGTAAACCCTAATCAATCATTAATAAATAATAAATAGAAATTAATAAATAAATCATTACTTATTATAAATTAATTAATTAAATCGGTCAGTCAGAGAATGAATCAATAAATCAATCTTGAATTATCTAATATTACAAATATTGAAAAATGTACTAGAACAATTTTAATTCAACTGCATATTTTATAACTTTATGGAAGTTCTTCATATATTATACAATGGTGTGACATTTGTTAACTTTCCTTGAATGCATTAGGAATGGTTGGAGCTACCGCTATGAATGCACAGAGTTCTCGATCACATGCCATCTTTACTATTACTATTGAAAATGGTGACATGGGTGATGATGGCAAACAACACATCAAGATGGGCAAACTTCATCTAGTGGATTTAGCTGTAAGTGACAAATCAAAATATGGAAAAATATTCAATGTTGAATTAGAGGTGAATATTTTAATTTATTGAATTACAGGGTTCTGAAAGGCAGAGCAAGACTGGAGCTACTGGACAGCGGTTTAAAGAAGCTACAAAAATCAATTTATCACTATCAGTACTTGGAAATGTCATTTCGGCATTGGTAGATGGTAAAAGTACACATATTCCCTATAGGAATTCCAAATTGACTCGTCTACTTCAAGATTCTTTGGGTGGTAATTCCAAGACTGTAATGGTAAGCAATAAATACACATTTTTAATCCAGTTATAGTAAAATATTAGGTTTTGTTTTCTTATATTATATTACATACCAATACAAATGTGTTTTGAAATTCTAGAAAAAATAATCAATATAAATAAACTTTATTTTAGGTAGCAAATGTGGGTCCTGCAGATTACAATTACGATGAAACTATCAGCACCCTGCGATATGCAAGTCGTGCAAAGAACATTAAAAATAGAGCTCGTGTTAATGAAGATCCAAAAGATGCACTTCTGCGACAGTTTCAAATGGAAATTGAAGAACTCAGGAAGCAACTCGAGGATGGGACTAGTCCAGGCAGTGGTGCAGGTTAGATAGAATTTTCTTTTATGGACAGTGGTAATTGCATTAAAATTTTTCTTTGTAAAATTGTACAGTATTATAAACACATTCAGTTTCACCTATATCCAGTTTAAAGAGGGGTTCATGATACCAGAATCTTAAATAAAGTGCTAATACAAGGAGGCTCATGGCTAATGCCTTCACATTCAATCCCTACTCATTCCTGTTGAAATCTGTGGTGGTTGAAGCAAGTTTGCAGCAGGTTTTTTCAGGAGGCCAAGGACTCATGCATTCTCTTCTACGCACAATGAAAAGATCTGTTAATAAATGTACTTTTTGTTAATATGGTAATCAATAAAAAACTAAGGGTGAATACAATTATGTCCTCAACCGCAATTACATTAAAAAAAATATTTAATAAGATATATAAAACATTCAAATCAAAACCAAAACTAGCTTCAGGGAATTTCCCTCAACTTCAGTGCGTATAATAAGTCTCAGATCATGTGATTAAAACATGAAAGGAAGAAGATGTTTGAGACTCTTTAAGAGTATCTCTTAGCTGCTAGGAAAAGTTGATTTTATGTATTGCTTTTTTAACAATTTGTATTTATTTATTTATTAATTTTAGGATTAGGAAATGGTGAGGTGGAATTTAATTCAAGATAATTCAATAATTTGTTTTAATTACCTAAAAAATAGTCTTCAATTTTCATAGATAGACTATTGCCATATCATTGATTATGATAGCTGAATTTTGATACAGATAATTTAAAGGGTAAATTTTCTAAATGGCACAAGAATACTGTGTCTTTGGTAGGATTTGCTACTAGACTGACCTTTGTCAATGTTCAATTTAAATTAAACTTTTCATCGAAATGTCTTATTAACGGTTTAGCTTTGTCTGAGTCTTTCTCAGGTATTGATGTTGAAATCCCCACTTAAAATAACTGTCATTTTGTCCAAATATTATTTCAACAATGTGGCACCTTCAGTAGTTTAGACCATCAAGACATTATAAATTAATTCAATAATTGCATTAACTTTCATCTTCATTGACATGTAGATGGCCATCATCATATCAATCTAATGTAGATAATCATAATCATTTGCCCATTTTGCAGTTGGTATTTAGCTGTGTCAACTTGCAGCTAGTTTAGCTTTGTAGGAATAGATGTCTTGGTATCATCAACAACAACAACAATAACACCGTTGGTTTAGACATACCTACTAAGTGGTAGCAAAGCAGTGTTCCTTCATGTTATGAAGCATTCCTGCTGGTTGTATCTTGTTGCTCTGCCTCTGTCCCTTTTGCCCTATGATCCATAATTTAAGCCAGTCATGTCTTTAAGTAACCGATAGAAAAATGATCCAAAAATTTATTTCAATAAACATTGTATATTTTACTTATGTTTCTTATGCTTCTTGATTATACAGTTTTATTAAGTACCTTTGATTAATTAATTAATAATATATTATCAATGCATATTCAGATGAGCCATACAGTGATGGTCTCTCGGATTCTGAAGATGAAGGCAAGGGAGATGCTGCAGCTCGCCGAAGAGCTAGACGTAGCAGACAGATGATGTCTGCTGATCAAATAGAAGACCATGAAATCACGGTAAGTGCAAGTCAGAATACATCAAAAGTTAATGTGTTACAAAAAATGTGTCAAGATCCATGCAAATAATCCTCATGTAGTTCTAATAGAGCTTCAAATAATTAGAAACAAAAAACAAAAGGGAAAAATAATTCACCACTTGTATAAATAGAAAGTAGTATGGTCTTCTGAAATAGAATATTAATTGAACCATTGGTTATGTCAAAGCAACTTGGAATTCAGGAAATCATTGTTTGTAGTGTATTTTAATACAATTATGTATTAGTTGGTTTTTTTGTTCTTGTTTTTTCTTTCCTCTTCTTACACTTTTGGTAACTCTCAGGACTAGTGTGTCATAATCTGTCACTAGCGTTACACAAATGAATAAGATAATGATATCCAATTGGTGTTTTGCAAAGCACTCACAGATGCATTTAAAGTATTTTGCACTCCCAACTTGATGTTGTTTTTTCTTGATATAATTTGCCAGAATCTCTTTCACTATAGGTATATGGAACAATGACTAATAAGCTGCAATAATGCTCTATTTTACTTTCCTTTATACATAACTATATACAGAGTCATATACTTAATATAGAAAAAGTTATGTAATGCAAAAAATGGCAAATTTTCAGCAGAAGAAAATTCATTGACGGGCCCTGGTAATGAAAAAGTGGATAAATCCAGTTGCTGAATTAAGAAAAAAGTCCTCTAACACGTGGTGTAGGCAGAATCTATGTTTTGGTGGTCCTGGGTATCGAAAAATCAATTGTCGGCAAAACGTCCATCCATCTGGTGTATGTGAACAATACTAGTGACGTTTTTCCAAATCGAATAAACCCCTGTCCACTTGGCCAGAGTCGAAGCTCTGTAATTTTGAAAAATATTCATTACTTTTTGGGGATACTTTACATGAAACCCCTGGGACATTTCCAAAATTTTCTCAAAAATGGCTCCAAATTTTTTCTTTAAATTATTTGTAAGAATAGAGTAAAATACACTATAACACATAAGGGTGGCATTAGTCAAATTTTCACAGTTAACGCTAAATTTTCAAAAATGGCAAAACTTTGAATTTTTTTGAAGACTTCCTACAAATACAAAATTGAAAATAGACATTTTTCTCTCAAATTTTGTTCTTCAGAATTAATTCTTTACTTTTTTCAAAATTTTAGTAGTTTTTAAGCGATATTGTTTGCAATATATGTGCAATTTAAAAATTTATAAAAAAAAAAAACAAAAAAAAAACACGATTTTCTAAAAATTGCTTCAAATTTTTTCTTTAAACTTTTGGTACATAAATGCTATATGTACTCTGAGAAATGATATAAACACTGTATTGCTCTATTCTTTTGTTTTTGTTTTTTTTTTAATTACACAAATGTAATTTTTTTGACTTGTCTCTCATGCTGTTAATATTTACATTAATATTTAAACTCAAATGTCAACAGTTTTCTGTGAAAAATGATCCCAAAGTTCCACATTTTCACAAACACTCTTTTCTCAAAAATGTCTGCAAATGTTTTCTTTAAACTTTTCAAATGGATAGTGCTAATTGCACTCTTTGAGATGACATGGGATTCATTTTCCTGTATTCTTTTGCTTTTTCATAAATCATACAATTTTAGTTTTTTAAATATCTGTGATGCCGTTAACATGCACATTTTCTGCAATTTGTAAACACCATTGCATTTTTGAGTTAAAGTGCTTCAAATTACTTCCCATTTTGAAAACTCAAAAATTTTGTAGGAAAAAGAGCTTAAAGTTTCAAATTTAGAGTAGTTCGTAGTTTAAGCATCATTTTCTTAATAACTTCAAATTTTTCAAAGAAAATTGCTGTTAAGGCTATGTTTTACGATTCTTTAATATTCTTTAAATAATAATTCTCGTTTACTATTAGGAAACCAAAAAATTAAGAAAATTTCATCGTAATGTATTTTGGGCAGCGATAGATGGCAGCTGGCAAAATAATGTGGTTAGTTCATATAGCCAACCGAGACAGAAGGAAATAGAAAACTAATATGGGAAAGTGTGCGCCATTCTGTTGGGCCACTAGTTTATATCTAATATAAAAATAAAAGCAATTTTTAAACAAGTCTTTGCAGTTGTAAACTACTAAAATAAGAATTTAAGATAAATTACAGGAATTGGAACCCATAAAATGGTTTCTCAAACCTTTGTAAATTATTCCTTTTTCCAGTGAAACTATTATCAAATCTAATATAACTACTAGTATCAAAGCCAATTTTTGAATGCAATGTTTTCATTGAAAAAATTAAATAGAATAAAAAATGCATTAACACATTGATGATAGTCAATAACCTTGGGCAGTGGCAAAGGTTGAATGCGGAGTGTTGAAAATTCTTTTACATGTTTTAGATTGTCTCGAATAATATTTAAGTTGGGTATTCAACTTGTCATAGTTGGTTCTTAGACAAAGTATTAGGTTTTTTAAAATTATTTTTATTGTATTGTTTTTGATTCATGCTCATTATGGTAGTCTTTTGGCATCAACTTGGTATATTTGAGTCTTGCCCTGCTTAGGAGGAGCCAGTAGAAAAAGTTGAAGTAGAAAAAGAAGAAGAAATAGACCCTGAAAAAGCACAACAAATGGAGCAAGAAAAAGAGAAACATGAATATGAACTTAAGAAAACACAGTGAGTGAATTTTCAGTTACAATAGCTGATGAAATGCCATGAACTTAGAAATAAACATGAACAAGTGTGACATGCCTTTCAAGTAATTTATTTATCAATTTTCACGTTTTTATTTCTGTTCGTTTATAGAAAAATAATCCTACGCTTCACTAGTCAAATTTTCATACTACATTTTTTATTTTTGTCTTGTAGGAAAGAACACGATATGTTGCGAGAAAAATTGCAAAGTCTAGAGAAAAAGATTCTTATTGGTGGAGAAAACTTATTGGAGAAAGCTGAATTGCAAGAGCAATTATTGGAAGCATCAGCAAGAGAATTGGAGACACGACGAAGAAAAGAAGAACAGTTAAGGCAACAACTACAACAAAAGGAGGTAGTATATCTACAATTCCATATTAAAATTAGGTATTATTAGAGCATCTTCACGACATATGCAAAAGCATAATTTTTTATTACATTTCACATTTTATAAAGCAACTTTGTAAAGCTAGTTGATACATTGCATCAACTAGCTTTACAAAGTTGTTAATATAATCAGAATTGTTGAAAAAACATCACATCTGTTGATTGCATCATGCACTTTTCTCTTTCTGTATGCAGAAGACCTTTCCTGTTTCTCTCCATTCTATCGTGTACCTTACTGGAATTCTGTTGAACATAAAATTTGAATTAGTTATGCCAAGGAAACACTTTGGCTTGTGGCTAGCTCTTGGTCAGCATGCTCGCTTTCCACTACGTGGCCCCTGGTTCAATTCTTGGTTGAGCCAAGACTAGAGTTTGTGTTTTCCTTGCAATGTTCCATTGTATGTTGCTGTGTGACGAACAGAAAATTCACTTCTCAGACAGAGAAGACCGGAATACGCATGGGGATGTCTAGGTGCTAATCACACGTACCCCATTAACCCATGGCCTTGAGGCAGGGACATCGCCAGTAGACGATGAGCTCTGTTGCGCCAAGTATATACATACATACAAGGAAACACTGGAAAGTCAGACCAGAAACAGTATAGTCCTCATCTGTTTCTCACTCATCTCAATCTTTAACTCCAGTCAAACAGTAAACTATGTTAGAATGAAAACCATAATGAACAATTAAACTGGTAAAGTGTAAAAATTTAATTTCAAAACAATCATTTAATGTCAATGTCATATAGCATATGTTTACATGTCATGTTGTTGGGTATTCCAAGATTCAAGGTTTTTTTTCTCACTTCGGTTTTTTCTTTGACCCTTTGCTAAAACTTAGAAGAAATAAATATATTATTTCTAATACCACACCTGTCACTACTACTACTACTACCATCATATTTAATATTATTGTAGGCAGAGCTTGTTGACATTGAAGAAAGATACTCCACTCTTCAAGAAGAAGCTACCGGCAAAACAAAGAAACTAAAGAAAGTATTTGCTATGCTTCTTGCCGCCAAAGCAGAGCTAGGTGATTTGCAGCATGAACAGCAGCGCGAAATGGAAGGTCTTTTAGATTCTGTTCGCTCACTGACAAGAGAGTTAAAACTTCAAGAAGCTATCATTGATGCCTTCATTCCTCGACAATACCAGGTACTAATTTATCTCCACTCCTTGGAATACAGGTGCACTTTTAAGATTAATGAATTGTTTCTTAAACATGAAGTTGTCCTTTCAAATCAAACTAAAATTCTAAACCAGATTTGAAAATATCTAAACATATTTAGATGCCTGTTGATTAAAATAGTATCAGTGCCTCAAGTGAATGCACTTAGAAAACATGTGAAGCAGTTCTAAAATATACATAGGGTATTGAAATTCTTTATCAAGCAGTTGTTGAATTATTATTAATAAAATAAAAATATTGGCATGGCACAAAGCAGTGTTTTGATAAAAGGGATTTCACTGACGAGTGTACTAGTATTTGAAGCAAAATGAAATTGTGTAATCGTGCCTCCACTCATATTCAATGTTTTTTTGCATAGGAAATGTTGGAACAATATGTTCACTGGAATGAGGATATTGGAGAATGGCAACTCAAATGTGTTGCTTATACTGGTAACAATATGCGTAAACAATTGTCGCTACATTCTTCTGGCCAAGGGCAAGATGTAAGATTCAATATAAAGGATGTTAAAGTTGTTATCATGTCATTATATAATACTTGTATGCTCTTTTCTAACAAACTTATTTTTATTTCTTTGTAGTATTTGCAGCCTGATCTTTCTCATGTGTACTTATCTTACTCAAATGACCGTGTGACCAACTCTGTTCGGCCTGCACGACAGTCTAGTGGACATAGAGGAAAGTCAGCTCATTCATCAAGTGTTCGCCCTGGGTCATATCGACATCATAGCAATACTTCATAACTCTTCTGTTTTGAGTGCTTTGTTCCATCATCTAAGAATTCTGTGATGCATGTTTTTACCTTACAAGGTATGAAAATTCTACAAATCTTTTCTAACTTTTTCTTGCAATGAGAGAGGTTTGTTCCTGGATTATTTGTAGTGGTATATTAAACTCTGTAGTTGCTAGAGGGCACAGTGACAACGAGATGTTGGTGAGGAATAGTTATGGGAGTTGTTAAAGTTGGATATAGTCCTTCTGAATTTTGTTAAGAATAAATTTATTTCATTGTTAAAAAAACTAGCTTGAAATTTACTAAACACACAAACTTCATGCTCCTATTTGACTGAGATAAGCCAGTGGCAACTGCCTTGTAGTGAAAAGAATCGTGTTAAAAAATTCCAAAGGACATACATACATAATTAACAACTTAAGGCACTTATAAAATTGGTCATCTCACCAGGTGTCCCAATTCCTGATCAGGGAGATTATCGCTTTGAAAAATTGTAATTGTTTAGAAATTTTGTGTCAATAATGTAATCTAGTTCCACTGTTAAAAGGTTCACGGAAATAGTTACTCACAGAAATTTAAACTTTCTACAAAGAAAGCTCCTACTAAGGTTTCTACTGTTTCTAAGAAAGATACCAAAGATACAGTCACTGATTTAAAAGTTACGATTCTCTTGTGGACTTGGGATAGTGATTTTCAATATTGAAATGCTTTTTCTATTTAGGACCGATCCAGACGCAGTGGAATCCACTGGCAAATGAAGACTGTTAATAATGGACTTGCTTGTTGAATGTTTGTGTTTGAAGAGTGAACGCACCTGTGATAGCTGCAGCACAGAGAGACATGCTTCTGCTTTAGTGTCTTGTGGTAGATTAACTAAAAAGACGAATTTGCTAGTCAGGAGAAACTACTGCCTTATCTTTTCTTCCTAATTGATAATTTAATTTTCTAGCTATTTAAATTATTTATTTGATTTAATTTCTTAATCCCTGCTCATGGTTAACTTCTCATGCACATTGTATTTATCATGAAAGTATTATTATTGTTGTCTGTTTTTATCATTAATACTTGTAAGACTGCTTGCTCATTAATGTTAACTTAATATCTGAATAGTAATTTACTCGTTTGAATTAACAAATAAGTTTAGTTATCAAATAGTAACTCCTTATTACATACTTTTTGCCCAAGTACAATTACCCTTGAAGATTATAAATACAATCATGAGTTCACATGCTAAAAATTGAAAGTAGTAATTTTGAAATAAATAAAAAACAGCGTAATTCACACTGAAGACATTTTGACTTGTACTGTTGCGGTCTTTTTTACTTCTATCACATCAACAGCAACAACAACAACAACAATAATAATAATAATAATAATAATAATGTTGATGATGATAATGATAATATGAAAATGGTGTCTAACTTAAGAATACATAGTATCTTATCATTTTGGAGTAGAGCAATAATTTATATTTGAAGTTAATAATAATATGAAATGCTTGCTGCTGCTGCTGTTGTTGTTGTTGTTATTATTATTATTACTACAAAGAAAGGGATGCAATAGAGTATCACAAACATGATCATCCCTACAGTACTAGTTGAAACATTTTTATAGTGGTGGTGTGTCTTTGTTGTTGTTTTTTGAAACTTTTAGGGTGTAAAGTCCCAAATAAAGTATTATAATCTTTAGGGGTAATTGAACAAGTTATGTAATAAGAGGAAATATGGGTTTAAGTAGAGAACACAGTACACTCTTACTGAAGCGCTTGGAGGGAGAGCCTTCCCTCTAATATTTTGAAAAGCACTTTGAAATAAAGGAACAAAATTTACCGAACTGAAATTTTTTTGTTTCTGTTAAATTTGGGCAGCCGCCAGGACAAGGCAAGAACCACTCATGCTTATTTTGCTTCTCATGAACCATGAACTCTTTCACACTGAACACTAAAGTGTGAGAGCAGTTTTCTTTCTTGCTACACTTCTTCCTTTTTTCTTGACTGAACTCATTAGACCCTTACACATAGGATGCATAAAACCCTATCACAGTCAATCCATGGGTTTGAATCCACTTCACAACAGCGTACAACGCCCTTTCAGTGGCAACACGAAAAAAAAAATTATTCTCACCATAAGTAACAAAACCATACATTACTTTCTTGCAATATTTGAAAATTATAATTTTAAATTCAATTAATGAATGAACCTGCACCATTTGCTCTATCATAGGAAAAAATTTAATCAACAAATTGGGGAGCCATTTTTGAGAAAATTTTGAAATGTTAAGGCTTTACATAAAGTATCCCCAAGTATCACAACAATTTCAAATTCAAAGGGTCTCAAGTTTAGCCAGATTGATCTGAGAATATCAATTTTGGAGAAAATAATTTGAACAGTTATGCCATCAACCAATTTTTAGGCATCAAGGACCCAAAATTGTGTATTATGACTGCACAAGGTGTTAAAATAATTCACTACATTTAGGAGCAAAATTTGTCTTTTTCGTTACCAGAACCCCACAATTCTACAAGCGTTTCCAACAAAATAGACACTCAGTTTTATAATATGGCAAGACACTAAAAAATTCAAAATTAATCTGCAAAAACTAAAATTCTCCAACTCGCATTTCAATAGAAATGGCACTATGGCAACATGAAATGACAAAGAACATGACCAATTACAAAGAATTAAAATCATTTCAGCAGATTAATTTTTGTTAACGTAAATTTGCCCCCAACCATTAATTATGCATTTTATTAACAAAATATTTCCCACTTGGCTGAGCAACAATTTAAGAGTTTAAATTACCAAGTTGTACTATGTTCTCTACTTCAAAAATAATCTGTGACAAGTGATCGTATATATCATGGAGAATAAATTAATTTAATTCAAATTAATCCACTTACCTAAAGCATGTTAAAATGTAAATGAAGGTTTCAGGTGACGCCAAACAAACAAAGAAAATTGTAGCAATACCACTTTTTCCAAAGCAATTTTAAACAACCAAAACATTCCAATATTTATTACAATTAACCTGTAATTTATTACAGATTATCCTGCAAAAATTCTAGTGACATCCATGTCCTTTTACGATTTTGAACACCGAATATATTTGGGCAAGTAAGGGCTAATGCAATATTTCAAAAGGTTTGGTTTAGTAAGACTCAATGCAAATAATTGAAATTTTATTAAAAAAACAATTGCTTTATTTATGGCACAGCACTGTTTACAATTCATAGATGTATATTCCAGTAGCATGTTGCGCTTCAATAAAATCTCAGTTATTACAATGACTTACAATTCATTCCTAAACTTTATATTTGTAATACAATTACATTTTCTTTAAGGAACAAACATACTAGTCATTACACATATTCAGTCTATCTTTGTAAAAAAAAGTATAAACTACATTCAAAATCTAGAAGACAGTCACAAGGAAGAAATAGACAGCACTAAAAAAAGTTCAACTTAGTTACTGGAAGAGTGACGATCACAATTCATTACAAACACACACTTGCACCAAGAAAAATGTGCTAAATAACAATATAAAATGATTTTCAAATTATCTTTCTTATGAATACTGTTGAAACACAAAAATAAAAGAAACCACATTTCAAGAATCACTTTTGTAACATGGATGTATATTTCACAATGGAATCCTGCACCATGTCTGAAATATCCTTATGATCAGTTGGATTCACAACACATTCTACTTGTGGAACTCCTCGAAATCCTAATCCCAAGTCTTGCACCAATTCCAATGCTTGCTGAACAAGATCTTTAGAATTTTCTTCTGTTATTACAGAAGGTAGTGGAGGAGGTTCTTTTTCTTTTACCATATTCAAAGCCTTTATTGCTTCACTCTGACCCAGGGCAGATGCTTTCTCAAAGAGCTTATGAGCTTCATCAGTATCACTTGAAAGACCTCCCCATCCATGCACGTAAAAAACACCCAAATTGTACATTGCAGTCGGATGACCTTTATCAGATGCAGCCTGGTAGTATTTGGCAGCCTAAAAATAAAGTTACAATATTATATATTTGTCTTCTGAAGAGTATAATCTTTTACATAAAAGAACATTAACTAACTTACTTTCTTGAAATCTTGAACTGTTCCTAGCCCCATTTCATAACAGACTCCCAAATTGTAAGAAGCAGAAGCATTGTTGAAATCGCTGGCTCTAGTGAAGCGAGCTACTGCTTCATGATGTTTCCCTTTTTGCATCAATTCCACACCAAGTCGATTGTCCATATCTCCCATTAAAGAGTTTTGAGCTTCAACAAATTTTGCAGCTGCATCATCAAGTGCCTGAAAAAAATTAAACTCTCTGCTTTATTCGGCCCATTCCAACCATAACACAAAATTCATGTAAAGAATTTAGTTTCTCATAGACAACCTACATGAAAATAATTTTGTAGAAAGTTACCTGTTCCGCTGTAGGTGGACCATAGCTTGTGCTTGCCACTTCATTTTTAGGAGCATAATCAATTTCAAGTTTTGCTGACTTAGGCAAAATACAAGCAGGTTGGGCCCAAACTGTCTGAGTGAGAAGTTTCCAAAATCCTGAATAATTAGAATCGTAATGTGCTCTTAATGGAACAGCATCTGCATTTGCACTGTGGTGCCTTTCATGGTCCAGTGAATGATGTCCTGAATCCCAATCATCATCCTGTCGATTAGAAGTTTTGTGTCCACCCGAATAAGAGTGCCGTCCTGAATCCCATACACCATCAAGTTGGTCACGAGATTTCTTAGAACGAGGGCAGACAAAATGAAAACGAGATGGATTGTTCTGAGAACTAATTTCTCGTTTCCAGTGCCATCCTTTGGGTCCTCCCCAACGTGTGGAGAATGATGCATGTCTACTCAATGGACATTGTCGTTCTTTGTTATTTGTATGTGAATAATGCAGTCTGCATAAAGGCTGTAGTAAGTTCCAACTCAAAACTATGGCAGTGCTCTGGAAAGAAAGAAAAAGAACAACTATATTCAATGCTCTACGAGCAAATTAGATACATAAAGAATACTACAATACTGACTTACCCAACCCACAGCTCCAAGCCAGGTATTTCTAACGTACGTATCATTCCATGAACGTTCATGACTTCTTTCCTCTCGTTTTTCACCTGAAGCTGCAGAGGTATATTTATTTCCAGAAACGTTTCGTTTATCGCAAAAAGTGTTAACCGTCGGTAAAAACTTTTCTCGAAATTTGCATGTCGAATTTTTATCTTGTCCAGATGAATCCGTCAACGAACTACATATTCGTCGCTCAAATGTTTCTCTAACATTTCTCGTTATATATTTCCACATGTTTGCCATTTGTCGGTCAAGTGAAACCAGTTGTCAGTGATTTCACTCCATCTCGAATAGTAATTGTGCTGTTAATCTTCGCGCTAGCGTTTTACCTGCTGCGGAATTCAAGTATTATTTCACCTCTGAACACCATATTCTCAAAGCTTCGTAACGTTTCTGATCAGAAACGTTCTGCCTGTTTACCTTCGCCTAAATCAAAATATGTCAGCACCAATCGCGCGAGAAGGAAGTCTTTTCCGTAGATTTGGCCTCGTCCTTAACCACCCTTCCCCACTCCACAACAAGCATCGCAAGTTCACAGCACCACTTCCCCTCTCTGCCTCATCTCCCCTGATCCTTCCCTTCGGCAAAAATGTTACGCGTCCCCTGCTGCTCCGAACTTGCCCGAACCTCGCCAGACTTGCCAATAGCAAGTCGGTACACGTTGCGCAATGTCTGTGGTCAGCACTGAAGGCAACTTCGTATCAGTAAATGTGCCAACTAATGTTTACGTTACAGTCATATTCCGGGCACAGGAATTGAAATGTGCTTACATGCGAATAAACTGCTGGTTTTAGAAGTAAGGCTATTTACGTAAGGACCTCTAGCCACTCGCAAGTTAAAAATATACCAGAGAGGTGCTGCTGGAATGTTGGCGTTCTGATACACGTTCTTGGAAGCAGCCACATGGAAGTTGTGACCGTAAACAAAGTGACGAGGGATTCTCCACTATCCTGCGACGTACTCACCCGAAACGTGGGCGGGGAAGGAAGAGGATTGATATAAAAAAACAAAAAAGACATGGTTTCTTAATCGGGTTTATAATATTTTTATTGCATGTTGCGCTTGAAATACACGATTATGAAAAGATTGAAAATTTCATAAACACCGTGAAATTCTGTCATATGTCTTACAACAAAAATATTTTATAAGTGGTAAAGTACGTTCAGTTCCTTTGAAATTTCTCATTTAGGGGGGGGGAGAAATTGAATGGCTTGTTTCACTACTTAAGTTATATACCATTATTAGGGACATTATTTTTATGATGTAGCCCACTCGTCAAGAAGATATGTAACAAAATGTACAAAACAGAATTGGGCATCCGTGCACGACCTAAGAATCAAGCCTTGAGTTCGAGTATGATTTCCCACTTATAATGTATTTTATGGATTATGTTGAAAGCCCTGGAGTAAAATACAAGAGCTTATGAAATAGAGCCAGGCAATTAAAATTGGATTCAATGATTATATTTCAGGCAGCGATTATGTTTGTCAGGTTGCTGAAGTGTAGTTTATGCTCACTTGAGAAGTCTTCAATACAGTTTTTATATGAGGATAGATATCAAACATAGAAGAAACCTTTCTATAGAATATTCTCGTGTACAAATTAATGGTATATAACTACAAAGATGAGAGTTGACTTCTTTTATGCTCAAGCCCTTTGATTTATAGACATCATTGTGCAACACTGTACCATGCCATAAGTGTTATCCAAAATGTCTTTTGCAACCAGTTACCATTTGTTGATATTCTATACGCCAACCAACTTCCAAATGGGGCTCAGATATGCCATCTGTGTGAAATCTCACTACAATAGGTCCAGAAGAATAACCTGTAACACAAAATAATATAGTCCCAAAACTCATTTCATTTTTGATCATTGTTTAAGATTTCAAGGCAGCAAAGATACAAACACTATCAGTAAGTAGGATTCATAAAAATCAGGAATTTTTATTAACAAATTTGTATTAGTTTTAGCAAGAATGTTGATAAATTGATTGAAGTAGATACTTATAGAGTAAAGCATTGTTTTTTCAATCATAGGCGTGCGCACGTAATTTTTTCCCTGAAAATTTCGAAAGGGATTCCAAAACCCTAAGTAATAAAACATTTTATTTCTGTAGATATGATCAATTCCTTATTTTCTCATTTTGGGAATTCGTACACATTTAGAGAGTAATAATTATAAAATTGTTTATGTAATCATTACTTTGCATGCTTTGGTTAAGCGATTAGTGTTTCTCGTCCCAACTCCCAATTTTCAATAAAAATTGCCTCGTCGGAGCTGGGATGTGGTGTGCTTGTTCACTTGACCTCGCGGCTTCGTAACACAGTGTGTAAGCAGAGGTTCAGAGTCACGACTTGGGCTGAGTCTTCTCTTCGAGAGTTTGTAGGAGATTTTTTAGATCGCAAATTATAGTTAGAAGTTTGCATTATTAGAAAGGCTTAAGTATCCAAAATGCACTAACATTTCAAAAAATTGCAAGTTTATTGACCGAAAACTGATGGTTTGAATGTGGAGCGAGGAAAAAAGAATATGCGAAATGCATGATATCTTATGTAAATACAGAACACTCCGTTTTATACTGTGTCAAGAGATCTATTTCCTGCCTCTTTATTCTCCTATACAATGTCCTTGCCCTTCGTCTCTTTCTTCTCCACCGCTTCCTTCATCGTCTTCTTCACACTCTTCGTCTCCTCCGTCTTATTATCAGTGTTCTTCTTGTCCTCTTCTTGTTTCTTGATTCTCCCGCTACTCTTCGATGCCCCAACTAATGGTATTGCTGCAAAAGAATTGCAGGTGTTACTGCAACTCGGTGCATGTTAATGAATAATCGTCAAGCGGGTTGCGTCATACAATCAGTACATCGATTCAAAGCGCTCAGCTAATTCAACTAGCTGACGTGGCCCTACTGTACACCTCCCCTACTGTCCTCCTTCGTCACTCTCTTTATCATCGTCTTTTTGTCTTTTTCTCCAACTCCGTCTGCTTCATCTCTTTCTCCCGCTCCTTGCCCGTCCTATTTTCTCCGTGTCTTCTTGTTTTTGCCCGTTTTCTTGTCAATCTTTTTCTGGTTCGTATCCTCTTATAGTATTGTTCTTGCCCGTCCTCTTCTTACTCTTGTCCGTCTTCCCTCCCGTATTCTTGTCTGCCTTCTACTTGTTCTTGCCCGTCTTCTTCGCCGCTTTCTTTTTCGTCGTCATTTGGTTCTTTCTTGTCCTGGTACTTCTCGATTTCCCGGATAATGTCGCATGATAATAGCAAAGGGGTCGCTGCAACATACAGCGTATTAACGCATAAACGCCTAGCGGGTTGCGTCAAGCAAGAGGACGGTATTTGTACAAAATGAAATATGACCGTGTGTCGTTCAATACTTTTCGTAATACTATGTTCTTGTAAGAAAAATAATATGTGTAGTTCTTGTAAATAATATGTGTAAGAAATATCTTTGAATTTTACGTAATAGTGAAACGCAATCGTCCATTTCAATTCGATTCTTTAAAGTATCAGTCGCGACAGCCATTTCGATTCGATTGTCGCTTGAGACGCGGTTGTTTTGTTACGATGGAGGATATACCAGGTGATATTTTAGAAATTTCAAGTGGTGTAAGTTTCAACTTGTTACCCGTGAAAACCAAGATAAGGTATGACAAAGAACGCCAAGAATTTCAACATTATGTGATGTTTCAGATATGCAATGCATTTCCTAGCATTGTTAAGTTGAACCAGATCAAATGAATAATATTTACAAGTTTTGATGCTAGTGTTGTCGGAAATTTTGGGAAAAAATACCTTAATTTTGAGCCCCCCCCCCCTCCAAATGCGAATTTCCCATCAAAATCTTGACATCGATTTTTTTTTTTGCATTACATAACTATTTAATTCATTCACAAGAAAGTACAGGGAGAAAATCGCAATTAAAAATTTACATTTACATTAACACTTGGGTTTAATATATTATCATCAATTATACGATTTTAAATTAAGTTGTACATTTTGTCACACTTAGAATAGTGTCACTTAAGGCACACCTCCTATTCCTGAAACCACTTAACAGCTCTTGAGAGTGTCCGGAATCTTCTAGACGATACGATTTCTATTATTCTCCAACTACTTCATACTCCATCACTTCCAGCAATCAGTGAATGCTATTTTATATGAATTCTGTAACCATAATTGAAGACTTGCAAAGCCAAGGGAGCTAAGTGTCAAAAGTTTTCTTTTGGTCTGTATGATTTCGTATTCTTGATATTCAACTAGAGCCACCTCTGAGCAGATGTTACAACTGCTTGGACGGGGTTTGGAACATCGCTCTTTTAACTGTGTATTGGCATCGCTTTCTATATTTATATTACAAAACCTTCGTATCGAACATTTTGGTACTTAGCTCGGATTTTAAAGGAGTTTGCTAAGGATTTTAAATTTCTTAACCTACGGGTAGATACAAGTGCATTTAACAAACTTACAGGGTTGCGTGTTAACAAGAGTTAAGGACGCACGTGACCGATAAAAGTATTAAAATCATGTTACACCTGTCCTAGCATTGTGCATATGGTATGACCACAATTCTGATCAACTTTGTGATTAATTATTTATTGCCTACATAATTTAGTTCTACTTGAATCTTAATTTCTATTAAGGTGAAATACATACTTGTCACAGGTGAAGACACTGTGGAATTGTCAATAGGATCGAGGGTGTATCCAGAACGCAATCGTTCAACATTTTCTGTAATTGCCAACCCGGATAATGCATTTCCACAGAATTTGTCAGCTGTCGAGTAAGAAAAGTCTTCATCAGGTTCATCCATTTCGTCTTCTGTGTGTAATCCGGGCATTGTCGGACCGTCATATCTTCCTCCAGGTATATGCACGTAGTCATGAGTTGTCAAGTCACAACTTGTAGTACCTGCTCGCCCCACTCCATCTGCCAATTCAGCTCCTGAAAAACTCAAATATTTATTTTGTGTTTAAATTTAAAAAATACTACTTTAATTAAGTTATTTTTGTTTAACTCGGAAAGCGGGAATTCTAAATCAGGGGTTCTAATCCCTTTTATTGCATGGCCCTCCTATGAAAAAAATAGTTTGCTTCATTGGGCTCCTTGCATTTTTATTTCTCGCATACTTCTCCTTAGTGTAGAGAATGTTGTGTAACGTTGCAGCTAAAAATGGTAAATGCTATACACAAAAACCCGTTGTATGGGACCCTTATACCAAATAAAGATTAATTATTTCTTCTCTGTGAGTTAAATTGCTTCCTCGTAAATACTGAGCTGTCAGAACCCTCGTTCGATTCTCAATGCCGAAAAATTAGTTTATGGCAAAATTTATACGTCTCTGAGAGCAACGCCAGTGCCTAAACCGAACACAGGATTTTCACCAGTTTGATATTCCGAAAACGATCTGGCTGATGTTTGAATTGATCTTAATTTCAAATGGATGTTTTAAATTTTGAGAATACTTTACATGAAATCCCCACACATTTTCAAAATTCTCTAAAATTTCTCCAAATTTGGTCTGTAGTTTTACTGGAAGAGAGAAAAGTTTGTTCATAAAAGTAGCACGTCCAATTTTTGCCAAAATAACACGTCCAACTCGTCCGATTTTTATTAAAACATTTGAAATTTCGAAAAATTGCATTTTTTCAACTTTTTTTTAATTTTAGGGAGAACTATTATCCCGACGCAGGCGATCTATTGCTTTAGGTACGTCAAATGCTTACTGAACCTAAATACCGAGGTTCGAATCCCAGTGTGGGCAAACATTTCTTGCGGATTGGAAATACGTGTGCAGGTTCAGGTAGTGTTATAATAGAGTTACCAGACGTCCCGTTGTTAACGGAATTGCCCTTTGTTTGTTCCCAACAAAATATTATCGGGACGTAAAATGTCCCGTTTTTTCGTACTTGGCTATACCCTCACTGACCTCACGATCCCCAGACGCACTCTAGTTTTCACAAAGCGCGAAAACAGAGTGTGTATAGGTTTATAAAAAATGTAATGTCGTCTATGCATTTAAAAGTAGAGGCAATCCATGTAAATACATTGAGGTGGTTGTGAGGTTTACTATGGCTGCACCAGGCACAAATGTGGTGGTGGAAAGAGTATTTTCGATCGTGAACTCCCTTTGGATTGATGAAAAAAGCACCTATTCAAGCAACTGTAATTTGTACTGTACCAAAACTATTCAAGCAACTGTAATTTTTTAAAATCATTTTCAAGACCTGAGCTGTAAGAAATTCTACAACCTGTTTTTAAGTATTGCTAGATATCAAAATTTGTGATACGTACAAAGTTCTTCCTGATTCAAAAGCCTTAGGTTCATGTTCAGCAGGTTGTTCATAAGTTATTAAAATATGTTTTTTATGAATAAAAAGTACTTTGTATTTCTGTCAGTGAAGCGGTGCAGCCATATTTGAAGCACATTTTCTCAGTAAGCACATGTCCTGTTTTGTCCATATTTCTGAAATGCCCTGATTTATGTCAAAAAAAAATTTGGTCAACCTATGTTATAACATAACGTAACTTTTTAAAATAATGCAAGAAAATACGTGATGTATCACCACGAAGTTCTAAGTAGTAAACAATATACAACACAATCGTAACGAAAATAACTGCAACTAAATGATTTACACTATAATTTACTTAGTTTATCTCGTTTTCCAATAACTATATACCCTTCTGCTTCTGGGTAGCCGAATTTCTAATCATTGTTGTTCAATGGTCAAAAAAGCAGTTTATGTTAACCTTTTTTCAAGAGCCGACCATTTCATTTCTACTGGGTGTATTGCAGATATTTTTTTCTTGCGTGATAGAGAAATGTTACACAGTTATAATTTCGAAACATCCATACAATGAGCAATGGATCCGATAGAAGCGATGATTTAGAAAAGAGAAGTAAGTAATTATAAAATGTTTTGAAGTTTTATATCAGACCATGATTATCAACGTCATTAATATTGTTTTATTATAATCAATGAGAACTTTATTATGCAGATAAGTCGCCAGTTCATATTAAGCTTTCGACCGCCAGTCGAGCCCTTAATTGGCCCTCAATAAAATATAATCGATCCTCAAGGGAACCGTTGAGATCTCCTGGTACAAAAGGAACATTCACGTGAAGGTAGTGGTATGAGTTGTTGTAATTTTACGAACGTCTTTTTTCAATGCCCTATTTATGAAAATTTGATCCCAGGAAAACTACGAGATTATTTATCTCTCATTCTTTCCGCTTAACACCACTAGGCGTTCCTCCACTCTACTCACCCTCTGCTGAATTGATAACAAAAACGGAATCTTCTGGCTGTGTAAAAACAATACGACATGTATTCGGAGATCTTCTAATGCAGACTGCATAATCCAGATTAGTTTGGTAGTGGCCCCCGCCTCCAGCGTAGTTGAAACTTTCTAATACTCCTTTCATCTCTGTGTGATACTGAAGACATCCTGGTGGAGCTGTAATTTTTTACATTTATAAAAATGCGCTAACCTTGAAAAAAATTATTCCATTAATGTGTTCAGTACCTGCCAGTTCTGGGGTTTCCTTGCAATCGACTTGGGTGATGCGTATTCGCCAATGATATGGCTTTCCGCCTGATGTCATAATCATGAGGGAAACAGATGTGCTACCTGCGTATGTAGCATCCACTGGCACATAAACTGCAAATTTGCAATATTTTATAATATAGATACATTTTGAATACTTCCTAAAAATGTGAGATACCAGCAAATCAAACTTGTCACTTACAGTGTTGACCATGATTTTCGCCACATAACTCACTGATACCAATGCCATTGGGGAGGGATGTCATTGCTATAAATCGATCATTGCGACATATTCCCATGTGACGATGTGGTGCTGCTAAAGAAAATTGTTCAAGATCCAACCTAAAAAAATAATTATGTTTATATTGTACGTTTAAGTTTACAATTTTCTAAAAGTACGAGTAACTACGTGTTCGTGTAATTCGTGTAAAAAGATAAAACACTTAACACAAAATTGATCGTCCCAGAATATGTCCCTCAGTCTGGAGTCGCATGTCTCTGAGTCCGGAGATCAGTGGCATTGAAAAACTGGACGATCCTTGGCGCTATGAGAGTTAATAAGCACGAGTAAGTAGACGTGGATTTCGGTGCACGAAAATATATTTAAAAAATAGAATTCTGATACATATTTACGTCTTAAGTACTGTAAGACACCTTATTAATAATCAAGATTAGAGAATTATTAAACGAGGCCGTTAGCCAGAGTTTGATAACCAATCTACTATTGTCATATGATACGTCACGAATATCATACAACTTTTTATAAACTTGGTAAAAATTCCAATGAGTTACAATTTTGGGTTACTGTTTACTTCATTGTCTACTGTTCTGCAAAGGATGACAGAAAGCAGAGTAGTTAATTGGAGGCCATGGGTTCGTTTTATTGTTATGTACATTACGAAACTGATTATTGTTGTTAATAGTAGACAATTGATTATTAGAACTTAATCATAATAACTATTAGTATCGTAATAGCTATTATTACAATAAAAATATCAGTATCATAAAGTTTGTCTTTAATCCATACAATGAATTTAAAAATTGTAATTTTTGAAACTTCCGGTATTAAAATATTCAATTATTAAATTTGCAATTAATTTGGAATTAGTAACTAATCCTTTACTTACTGATTATAATATTTTTATACTCTTTCACATGACATTGTATTAATTATATATTGAGCCTACTGGAAACAAAATATGTAATGAAAATTATGGACGTGAATCATAATTTATTTTCATTGCGTTAAGAATTACAAAGTTATTTTTTAGTAAAATCACGATGAGGATCACCACTATTAAAAATAATATATCGTTTGTTCATTAAACACTTGGTTCCATTGCATTCCATTACTTTTGTATTCGTGTTTAATGTCATGTTGTAGAATATTATACTGAAATAAATAAAAATTTAAATACCTTATTCGTTGATAAAGTATATAAATAGGTTTCCGTTTTTAGAGGGGAGACAGGAATTTTAGCCTTGCCCAGCGTCTGAAATTGCCTAGCTCAGTAACTACCAGAGATTTTTTCTAAAACCTGGAGCGGTGGCAATCCTAGTTTTGAGTATTAATTGGAATAATATCGAACTAAGCACAAAACCTTACCGTAACTGGCAAATATTTTTGTTTGTGACGTCAATTCGGAAGTCGCAGAACGAGGTTCCGGAGTCCTGGTTTGGGTAACTGGGATTCACAAAGTAGGACATAGCGTGAGTTGTCACGTTGCGGCAGCTTTTCTCCACTGAAAAAGTAACAGAGAGTCAAAAGTTCGAGTAGTATTTGTAGGTTATATGTTAATAAAATGTCAGAAATACAAATAAACAAATAAAAACACAAATAGACTAGTATAGAAAAAAATAAGAAAATACATTACAATACAAGCGAATAAACGTAGTGATATGAATGATACAAAAAACTTCCTAAACGATATTTACTGTAGAGTAATTTGCGCCAAAGACCAAAATGGCTGAATCAATCTCACCTAAACAGCAAACTCCTTCGCCGTTATCACAGGAAGCGAGACTCATTCCTCCCAAGTTTTCACAGTCTTCTTTAGTGTAGCAGATGCCTGTCGTTCCGTCAGGTGAATCGCATAAGTGGTGATCTAGGCGAGACGATTCGGCGTTGTTGTTGTTGTTGTTGTTTTTATTGCTATTGTTTTTATTTAAATTTGCATTTAGATTGACCTGCGGCAGCTGAAAAAGGTGATTATACAGAAGTAAATCTGTAACAAAAAGTTTTAATAACATGCATGAAAATCAAGCCAAAAAATAAGTTTAGAATTGAATTAAATTCAAATACTGAAATATTCTTTCATAGAGCCATAACACGCAGCTGAGAAAAACTGAAAACAATTGCAGAATCTTAATTACATTTCGCACTTTATGTTGATACGGATTGGTTTTGCAATGAAAAAAATCGTTTTTTAGCATTTTATTTTTTTTATCAATTATTTTATCTTTAAAATGTCTTTTTAATTATTTTGATATCACTCTTCAAAAGTATTTTATTTTATTATTTGTATGTGACATTCTCCTCTCAATGGTCTTCAAGGCGGCTCCAATACTGTTAGATAATGTTATATACATAAATGCAGCGCATAAATACTGCAGTGCATAAATACTGAAAGACATAAACATGCAGAAAATAAACTGTAAAATTTGTGTTTTCAAGCTAATCAACATAAATGTGAGTACAAAGGAGGAAGGTATTGGAAAACAATGATTCTGTTGAGGAAATATTTTCGTGCTGGCATGTTGTGAGGGTTGCTGTTTTAAAGCCCATTTCCCGGAAGTTGATATTTTTGGTACTAAATGTGCGAGTACTACCTTTTCTCAATTTACATTTGAAATTTTCAGGAGTTGTTAACAAAAGTCTTCTGTGTTTACTGAAATAACTTTTTTCTGAGTACCTTAGTATAATCCGTTCAGCGGATCTTTATTTACTAGAAAATGTAAAAATTAACATTATGACAAATTATTTATACATACGAAAACAATTTATATATTTAAATCGTTTTAATTTTCAGTGTAATTAAGAGAGTTATATCTGTTACCTGCGAAATTTTCATAATTCTAACTTCAATAGATTCTGAGAATTTTACTCAAACATTTAATTTCGATAGGGCATTTCGTATCTCCTTGCTCACACGCTTTAAAAACTCGAATACATCAAAAGCAACGCATTTTGGAGTTGCACACCGGGTGTTGCTGATACTAATACTGCCGAGACACACGACCGCTCACTGAAGTCTATAAAGAGTCTTCGAATATACGAGAAAAGAAAGATTGTACAACAATTTGACGCAAAGTTAATAGAAATTTGCGACACAGTCAACATTGAGATATTAGGAAGGTATTGTAGGCAGGATTTTAGAAATCAGTTGGTCATAAGAAACGAACAAATTAATTTTTCTTCTATACTTCCTACGGAGCGGTCAAGCACTAACAAAGAAAATATTTATCTAGTGGCAAGCAGCTTTCTCTTCGTTGTTTCTCAACTTGAACATCAAAACACGGAACTACAGTATATAATCCGAACATCGAGGCAGTAGCATTGCCATAATGACCGGAATAGTCGTGCCCCTACGGAAAAAAACCATTAGGGTAACTACGTTTTCGTCCGAGAAATAGGTATTGCACCTTTATGACATAGGCTAATTAAACATTACGCTCCGTGAAGACACGGAAGTCAAGCAATTTGAGACATCACGGATGAGCGATGTGACGGATGGGTGACCGTCTGGGAACCCAGCTTACTTACCTGCGTCGAGCCCCTGGCCGAAGTGATAAAATCCACTGTCCGACAGCGACGTTCGAGACAAAAGACGGGAAATTACTCTAGATATGAACTATTTTCTCAATGCCCAAAAGAGATAAAAGACATGTTGGGAGAAAGATGTGTTGCGAAAGAAAACAACCCTTTAAAGTATGTGTGCTACATGTTTTTATATTTTGTACATTGAATCAATTCTTGTTATAGCCTTACAATTACAATTTTTGTTATTAGTATTTTTAGATGTCCTGAAGATAGGGATCTCATTCTTCGAAACATGGTTTAAAAGTTGTATGTTGATTAAAAAGAAATTTGTTTAACTACTTTATTAATTTGTTTAACTATTTTATGAATATGTTAAAATATTTCAAGAACATTCAACAGTGCACGGTGTAATAAGGTTATCACTAAATATTATGAGACAAAAAGTGTCAATATTTTCCGAACTCATTCTTTAATGCGTCATACCTCAAATTGCTCTATTATTATGTAAATTATTATTGTATATTATGTATTTCTAAAAAAAGGACATTCCCCTTCCCCCTAAAATAAATCCTAATTTCACAAATGGGTCGCAAGTGAACAGAATTATGAGGACTGCCAACGGTATCGAGACTCCTCTTCTGAACAGGTGATAAAGAAATGACGTCAGTAAGCAATACTTTTCAGTGCGGACTGACAAAATTATATAAACGTCGCGAGCAGTAGGCGTCAGCAGCCAAGCCGATTTACTCAACATCCTTTCCTCTTCTTGAAGTCTTTTTCTTTGAAGTGCTTAGTCCCAATTCGAAACATGGCCTCACATCCGCTGGCAGAACGACTCTCGAGTTCTCGACTAATACATTGTCTTTCTGCGTCACCAGTTTAGGAGGCTCTGGGCATCAACTGATGTCACTGCAGTGCCTCTGCTCCGATCGATAGTTTTCCGTGGTTTCTCCGATGAACACCATGCGAATGCTGAAGCAGTACTCTAACAAACGGGCCACGGACCACGTGACATCTTTCCTTTCTCTCCCGTGTTCTACTCTCACCTCTTATTTAAACATGCCTATACTACATCCACACCCGTCGGAAGATCGGTCGGCTAGAGTTTGTACGGTTGGGGCGGTGCCCCGCTGGTAGGTGATTCCTGGTTCGGGAAAACCCGCAAGCTTGCGTGTAGGTCGGAGCCGGATCTCATCATCTAACGGGGAAGATCACAGCCACATTCCGAGATAAAAAACATGCACTACGGGTACCGGAATAATTACGAGATCAGTTGGCGCCCTCGGAAGCAATAATCAATTGATCGATATTTCTGTGCCACGGAAGAAGGTCAACATGCAGATGGTGAGAGTAACATAGCCCAACTTACGGATGAGACAGAAAGTCAGGCGACATTTGTAACAAACTGTTGGATACAGCTTCGTCATCCGCCTGTATAAACAACAAATTATTCTTCATTGAATTCGATATATGACACGGATATTTTCATTTTGGGAGGTTCTTAACATAAAATCCCTATGACACTTTCAACATAAAGTATGTCCCCATTTAAAACAAAAGCTTTTGCTCGAATAATACAAAAATGGCAGTAGTTGGATTTTCAGTAAAAACATCAGTGCTTTCGTAAATTGAAGAAATTAAAATATGTTTTTAACTTTCCTACAACCATGTTATTAAAGATAGAGAATTATTTTACAAATGAAAGCGGTTTTTCAAAATTAAATCTGTAGTTAATGCCATGTACAATGTTTTCAAAATATTTGTAGTTTTCACGTAAGCAGTACATTTCAGGCAGTACGTCTCTTATTTCCGGGCCCTGGTAACAAAAAGGTGGATAAATTTCGATGATAAATTTAGAAAAACAAATTCTCTAATTCGTGGTGTAGCCAGAATCCATGTTTTGTGGGTCAATGATAGAGAAAAATCTGTCTGCCTGTCCGTCTGGGAACAACGCTAGCGGCTAAACTGTTCAGCCGATTTTCTCCAAAATTGATATTCCTCAATCGATATGGCTGATGACTCGGACCCTTGAATTTAAAATCGACATTTTAATTTTGAGAGGTACTTTACACGAAGCCCCTAGCACTTTTTCCAAATTAAAAAAATGGCTCCATCGTTTTTTATTCAATTTTGATGTTGGATAGTGTGAAGGACGTTTAAGATACGGGGCAGGTCTCATGTTAGTTAAAAACCATGATTTTTTCGAAAATTGCAAAAGTTAAAACTTTTTTCGGAGTTTTCCTCCAACTACAATTATGAAGATAGAGATTTTTTCCTTAATGAAATCTTCCTTAAAAGATTCTTCTTTCGCGTCATTTTGCGTTAAAATACGGGCGACAGAATGTACTTGCTGTTTTAACATCATGAGTTAAAAATAGTGGTTAGCGTAATCCTGAGTTACATGGCGATAAAGTTTTCAGAGCCTGTCCTACATTCATAATTTTAGAGATAAAGTTTCATTTTTTTAAAGAATATCATTTTGTAATATAAAATATTTAAATAATTTCATGTTTACATTTTTCTAAATATTGAATTGAATTTGAACCAGATTCGGGAAAAGATATTCGAGTTTTTCAATTTGTCTCATCAGTTTCGGCATAATAGTCTTGGTATTGAGTATCGACTTTTCTCGCCAGCTTGGGAAGTGCAAAGAAAGCAGAAACATGACTGCACGTGTCACCCAAGAACAGAATGTGGGTGTTTCGGAAAACTATACAGAGACTCGATATGCATATTTCTTACAATTAACACGAGAGAGGTTAGGTCTTGTCTACAAACGTTACGGTTTGGGTGGAAGAAAATGTCTAATGCCTTGTTACTTTTGTTTCCTAGAACTTCTGCGTGTGTTTGTTCTGAATTCTACTCCGTATTATTTGCTATTTTAGGAATCAACTCTCGTGGCAATTCTGTCAGAAGTATAGATCTCACACTCATATAAACCAATGAATACAATGCAAACTTCCATCTGCATTCTTGTTTCTGGCAATTTCTGGAACTATCAGTAGTATTACATACTTCTGAAAGTTGACAGAACCTATTTAGATTGTATTACAGGAAATGCATACTATCGCGGCGTTGCGCCGGTCGGCTCTCCTTGTCAATAAGAGTCTGAAGCCTTGTACACACCTAGCGAAAAAGACGGGGAGCAAGTGTATCGCAAATCCCAGGGATGTACCGCGACGTTTTTTGTTTGTTTGTTTGTTAGGAACTGTCGAGATACAAAAGATGCATGTCACAGCTCTCCCATTCGAAATGGAATTCCGTACATGATACAAACGTTGCTCAACATCTAGTTTGGACGTGTCACGAGAGAAAGCTTGGGACACGCCGATTCCAATCTGTAGATAGCCTGTTTTGGAATGCGAAAGTTATGCATTAAGCTGCGAAAAGATTCCTCACTGGCAAGGAACCGGAGAGTTGACAGCTAGCCTGATATTCCGAAATATAGCTCGATTCTTTGAAGTC